CACACACACACACACACACACACACCCTAACAAGAGCACAGTAAACCAAACCCACTCTCACTCTTCTCCTCTGTTTCTGCTCTTTTCTCAAACCTTCCCATATTCTGAGACAGTCCAAGTCAGGCCAAAGTGAGCCAAACTCATAGCTAGGTTCACATACTGCGCTCTGACCCAGAACTAAAGTATGAGAAACCATCTGAAATCCATCACAGTCAAAAGCACTCTAAATCTTCGTAAATAGCAGACACTATATTCAAAAAGGGCTTACATTTATACTGATGTGATTACAAATAAATAATAAATAAAATACATTCAAGAGTTTCCCTTTGAATCTTTGGATCTTACCACCATAATCACTGCTGGCAGCTGGAATGCGTGTTATCAGGTTCAGGCTGAGGCGGGCAGTGCTACAGCCAGGGGAATTGGACTGTAATATTTCTGCAGCGTATGTAGCGGCTCTGGTTTGTTCTACACATACAGCCTAGCTTGTAATTGCTTTGAATCTGAGGTCATGAGCCAGAGGATTGGTATCATGTGGGCCGTGCCAGGCTTCAGATGTACCATGTAACGTCTAGCCTGTGGTCTAAAGGATTGGAAGCAAAGATATTGGCACAATGTACTGAGGCCGTCTGTTCTGACGTGTGGAGGGACGGCACAAATATGCAGTTGTGTTCATTTTGGGATTATGGGTTATGGTTTCAATACTTGAAGGTGAAGAAATTGCTTGTTTATCCCTGACATGTAACCATTTTGGTCAGGGGTTTATACAATGTTGTCCCGTTCTGATCTAAAATGAGTACATTCATTCCCCATTACATCTCATTAAAGCCCTCTAGAAACAATTCTGTAAACCTGTTTAGAAAGTATACAGGATGTTTTCAGTCTGTGGTGCGAAGGTTTGGTTCAAGGTACAAACTAAATCTCTTGTAGTAGTGTATTCACATCTGCATGCTATCGTGGTTTTGGCATGGAGTCAGTTGGGCAAAAGGAAATGGATTGGCACACTTTCTGTGTGTTGTCATTGTTGTGTTCCCTTTGCTACACAGCAATGTGATTTTGAGGATTTAGGGTCCAAGCCTTGTGGATGGAGCAAAAGGGCTTAAAGAATCTGTGTTGTTACTTCTTTCTCTTTGTCTGTTTGCTTTCCTAATTCACAGAGCAACAGGAATTAAAAAGTACTTTCTGCTCTAGCTGCACGTATGGCATGTACAAATGTAGTCATTATTTGTCTTCAAGTTACATTTAAGCTACAATTGTGTGTCTTCATCTCTGCATTCTCTGGTTGTGTGACATCACTCCTAACCCAAAAGGTGTTGGCTGATGTTTGAGCTGGGTGAAAGCACACATTTAGAATGTTCTGCCATTGCTCAAAGACACATTTTCTAATAGTACACAATTAGGCTTACTGGCATTTGCATGCAGGCATGTGATTGGACCAACACTGACTGGGCATGTCAGACCAATAAATGATGTATGCTAGCCAATGGCTGCAGTTTTGCTTGGTGTGAGAAACAACGAGTTCCCATTTGTCTCCCAAGTTCTGTTTCCCCCGACACGACAAGAGGATAAAACATGTTTGTATCTGATTCCCTTGCAGCATTCCACTGTTTTTGGCAAATAAAATATTTTACATATTTATAAAATGGATATGAGCTTAACAAAAAGTGACACATATTTCACCAACTGCCTAAATATGTAGTTGTAAAGTTGTACTCCAAGTGCATGGCTCAGAAGCAAGAGCATTGTTGTAAAGCCAACTCAACATGTATTTACAAGATGTCTCCTTTTCTGAGTCTAGAGAGAGAAAGACAGCATAATTGCATTATGTGAATGCCAACTTGTGTGTGTGTGTGTGTGTGTGTGTGTGTGTGTGTGTGTGTGTGTGTGTGTGTGTGTGTGTGTGTGTGTGTGTGTGTGTGTGTGTGTGTGTGTGTGTGTGTGTGTGTGTGTGTGTGTCCTATTGTGTCATGAATGACAGTGTGTGTTGTTGTCTAAATGATCCACTGCCTGTCATGTGTGCAGTTGATTTCATATGACTGTCACCACGTTGTACCTCCAGTTACTCTGTATATGCAAGGACAGATGTGCGCTCTGAAAAATAAATTACTTTCTACTTTTCCTCTTAATTTTCCTGCTTTGAATTTCACATTTAAAATAGAATGATCGCAATGGAAGCTCACTGTAAAATGCTTGGACGAACGCTATGCATTCTGCCTCATTTTACAAGGCACTGAGTGCAGCCTGCCAGTAAAAATGGATTGCTCTCATTATGAGAGTGTTATGAACAAGCAGTGTGTGATTGAAAAGCTTTATTTCATGCTCGGCAGACTTGTAAATGAGGGTCTGTGTGTTGTGAAGAGAGGAGGTTTTTGTGCGTGCCTGTGTGTTCTGGTGTGTTAGCGAGAGGCGATGATGGGATTTCATGAATCACAGTGTGTAGGTAGGGTAATACTTTATCTCTGCGGGATATTGCATTCTTTATTGCTGCATATAAACATGACGAAAATGTGAAAAGGCTCTGTGGTTGATTGCATTCTTGCGCCATTGTGCCTTATTTTACTGTGTTAACACCACAAGTAATGGGCCATCAACTCTTCACTAGCAGCTGTTTATATTATGCTACTCACCATTTGTTATGTTCATACAACACTTTATCTGGAATTCTCCCACCTTATCTGCCAAATCCTGTGTTCCAGCATTAGGATGTGCAACTTAAATGGCAGCCTTGCACTACTGCAGCCTTTCACATGAAACCCACAATTGCATGTATGTCCATCTTTCTGCCACACTTGGTCTAGTGTAGTGCGACCTGCAGCTTTAGCTGGGCTGCAGCATTATAACAGGTCAGTGTTGGCTTTGTGCCAGCACCAGTATCTTACATAAACAACAACAGTGAGGAATGTGTCTGGGCACGCTTCACACGCATGTGCTAACACACAAAGTGTAGGTGGAGTTGTGTTTCTTTCTGCTTGGGCCCTGTGGTGCTGATGTTCAAGGCACACACTGAGACACTCTTTAAAGTCTCTGTTTTTAGGAGGTCTGGAGGAGAAACAGGTGCAGAAGGTTATAAAGAGACAGCCACAGAGAGGGGATCATAAAAACTATGAGCGTGCATTGCCAGGGACTCACTCAGCTGTTTAGCCTCTCTCTCTCCTCGAGAATAAAAGCATTAGTGCTACTTCAGTTCCAACACATCTCAGCTGGTTGTGACATTATCCCTGAGTCAGGTTGTGTCCGGTGACTCTTCCCACGTGGAGCTAATGTGCTTTCCTCCAGGCCTGACTGCTACTGCTAACTCCCCCAGACCGAGGTTAAAATCAATATTACAGGAGCCATTAAGACCTGTAGTTATTTAGCCATCTCTGTGTCTTTATTATTATCTGTCTCGCTGTAGACTGCGGCTTTGACTGTCCCCAGATTCTTCTCTTCACTCTCCCGCTCAAACCCTCAGCTTGTGCTTCTCTGTTACTGTCGTTCCATCCCACACACTTTGTCTTTGTCCCTATCCATTTCAGTCTGCCTTTGATCCATTTATCTTTTAATCTATATAACCCTCCAATACTGTATTCCCTCTCTGTCTTTGCTTGTATTCTGTCACATCTCATTTTCCCCTTCATTTCTTCAGTTTGCAACGCATCTGCAACCTGAAAGAAGAAGACTTACTTGTGTTGAAACATTTCTTAATGTTACAGTTTTCCTCCTTGCTTGTATAACTCTGTGGAATGAGAAATATTCCAATTTTAGGGAGAAAGCACTCAGCTTTGAGTTACCACTGCTCAAGATTGTGGCTTTGCTGTAGTTTATAATACATTTTGAATAATTTCTTGCTTTTATTTGAGGGCATTCGGTCTGTATATGTGTCTATGAGAGCATAATGAAGCACTTAGTCTAGCCACTATCTAATTAGCTAATTTCCATGTGAAGTCAGTGTGATTAAATGTTTATATTATAATTGTCAAAGCACCACAGTATTTATGTAAAGCTGTTTTCCCTACAGTATTTATTTTCTTCTCCCACCATAAAAGCTCTGTTTACCAAAACAGAGCTCAAAAACATTTCTCCTATTTTATGTTTTTTTCCCTCTCTGGCATTCTTTATGAATATGATTTGCTGTACAAACTTAATATGCATGCTCCTTGTGCACTTATGTAAAGGAGTACACTTTGTGATGTGTGTCTGTGTGTGTGAGAGATAGATGACTCAGAGCACAAAGAGCGATATCTGATGACATCACAAGCTAACTGCATCTGCACAGACTCTCTGCCCCAACACCTCCTCTCTCACATGATGCATATTTAGTGGTCAACGCTGTCAATGTCATGGCTGGCCTGTATTTTTTGCTAACTTCACAGTATATTTAAGCTATAGATTATTTTTGTTTTAGAGGGTTCTGGTTTCTGCATGTCCCTTTGCTGCATTTTAAGAATAGAATTGTCGTAAATATTATATATAATATGATCATTTTTTTTTTGTGATTTTTTAAATTTTATATATATATATTTGGCAACCATTCAATTATTCATTGTTGCAGTGATAGATCATGCATATTATAAACCAAATAAGAATAAACTGTAAACCAGTTCAGATATGGTATGCCTGTGGAAACGAATAAAATATCTCAAATGATTTGACTATGTTGCACATCCCTACATTATTATGTACCGTGCATCATTTACTGTAAATTAGCTGTCTGGGACTTTATGCTCTGATACTGCATCACTGAAATAACATTTAACTGGTGTGTATGTTTATGAGAGTCTGTGAGTTTATGTGTGTGTGTTAAAATCCTCCATCTTGCTTCATGGTATTAACTGCGCTAGCTGTTAATTAAGCCATGCAAAACAGGACATTTGAAGAACATACTATAAACCTACTCAACTCAGCACGGACTAAATGTATCACATGCTGCTGATCACATCGATGTGAAAATAAAAACAAAGAAATCAACTGGATTGTTCTGTTCTATGTTACTGACCTCTCTCTGTTTTTCTCTGTTTCAGGGTTTCATCGCAATGAGGATATGAAGGCCATCGATGTGCTTCCTATCCTCAAGGAGAAGGTCGCCTTTCTCTCAGGTCAGATATGTACTGTAAACCTGTTTGCACACTGATGTAGGACAAATGTATCAGAAGAAAATAATGCTTAAAGTGGGATTAAGTCATTCAAATCGATAGTTTTGACAAAGCTGAAAGTATCAGTAACAAAAGTAAAACAGTATCACTACTTTGTATTTAATAGGCACAATTGTTTCCAATGGGAGCACATACTGTCCCCTAGTTGTCACAACACAACAGTTTGGATGTGATGATTCAAGATCCACTTTATGTGATGTCTACTTGTTAGTCATAGGCGGCGCGTGAGGCTCAGGTTTGGGAAGGCTAAATAACTTTTTTTACCTGACGCTGCCCGTCTCCGGTGTCAATAGATAAGAGATCAACCGAGATCAACTCTCAGTGAAAGCACCGCCTGCTGACCAGTCAGAGCTCAGTGTGCAGAGTTTAAATCTATCAAGTCATATTACAGGATAAAGGAAATACAGAACAACTGCCGTATGCAGGGAAGACGCCGATGTGTCGCACTTATCATTCATATCACATCATCAATAGCATCATCGATCATA